ACCGCTGCTGATAACATCACAGCTTGAACGCAATGCATGTTCAGCTTGGCCTTGTGCCTTTGCACGAGATGTGCATCATTGGACAATTTGTAGGATGAACCACGGTTACACAAGCTCAGCATTGTTGGAAATTAATGTGCTGGGAATGTCTTTCACCAGTTTTAATGTCCTGAAACCATGACAGCCACGTTGCCGAAATGAAGTACGCGGCGTCGTTCATGAACCATTCTCACCAACGCCACGGCTCACACCGATTACACCGGCGGCCCTCTTAGGCCGTCGTCCTGTGTGGCGTCTGTATGACCTCTATATGACCTCTGCGTGACCTTTGTGTGACCTGTGACCGGGCTGGCTGGCAGTTGTCCACCTCAGCTGTCCCAAGATGTACCTGGTGCACACTATGGAGCAGCAGTACCAGCTGCGCGCCTACATCTACCAGGCGCGCGACCTGCTGGCCGGAGACAAGACGGGCTTCTCCGGTAGGTGGCGGTCTGCTCGGCCGCAGCGCCGCCGCCCGCGGACGCCGCTCGGGCGGGTTCAGTGGCCGGCGGCGTGCTGGTGACGGGCTGTACGCAGGGCCGTACAAGACGCGTGTGTCGTTTTGTGTGCTGTTTATTGGCGGTTGTGGGCATGAAGCGGGACATAATGTGACAAGTAGATTGGCGCCGGAGGGTAAAATCGGCCCCCCAATGGTGCGCCCGTCCTGATGCGTGTATGAAACGCGGCGCGGAATGCGTTAGTGGCTGAAATCTGAAGGTTAAGAATAAACCATGCACGTTGATTGTGACGTCATTAGCGTGACGCCACCTGCACGTCTGCGTCAGATGTTCCAATGACGTGACATGCCAGTGTCGAAGTCGCGCGAAACGCCCGTAACATATGACCAGCCCCGGTCTTACGATACTAGAGCACGCTAGGTCGGCCGGTCTGGCCTTGTCTCGTCACGCATCGCCCCCGTTCCACTGCACGTGACCGACGGTGGCGCCGCTCTGCCCGCAGATCCGTACGCCTGCGTCAGCTTCCTGAACTTCTCGCAGCGGACGGAGCGGGGTCGGGCCACGCTGTGCCCCACCTGGGACCAGACGCTGCTGTACGACGACCTCACCATCCACGGCGACCCCATGTTCATCCTGGAGCAGCCGCCGCAGGTCATCATCGAGGTGTTCGACCACGACACCTACGTGAGTGGAGCGCGCCGCCAGGAGCCGGCAGAGGGGTTAGTGTGTTGGGCTCGCACGTACGGAGGCCGAGTTCGGGTCCCGGTGGTGCCGCGCCCCGGAGCGATAATAGGGGCGATGCAGGCGCACGACGCTCCGTAAAAGGGGCGTGATGACTGCTTCATGCCGCGTCTCGTGTCGCGTTCTCTTTAAACAGACAAGAACGCGTCGTTAGGCCGGGTTATCGAGCGGTGACTTTGTCGTGGGGCGGAAGGAGGGAAAGTGTGCCAGCAGCAAGAGGTGGCTGTGGCAATGCCCTTTTTTTAGGGGGGGGGGGGGGCCAAATTTGGCGTTAATCAGGAGAAGTTCTGCCTGGGTGGTTGCAGCCAAGGAGGCAGCCGCCCATAGGCCCAGACCGTGATGATCATTGATTTGATCCGATGACCATTACCGTGATGATCAGCTTCCCGGCGTTGTGATTGGTTGGTGGGTGGGTGACGAGCAGGGGACGCTCACTATCGCCGCCTACCTTTGAAACCCCAACCTGGTGTGCGTTTACGGGACTGGCCTCTGGGACGTTGTCTTGAGGGCTTATCTTCCCCCCCCCCCCCCCCCCTTATGACTCGGTTGTCCCCTCGCTCTCAGCGTGTCAATTACGTGCACGGGCTAGTTTGTACTCGATAGCCAGTATATGATATCGCTACACTAGGTGATGGTGGGTGGTGTCAGTTTTCTCCACCGTAGTTCCCATGAAATTTTTGATGCACCGTGTGACCTTAGCCCTCCACTCACCAGTGTGACCTTGCCGACCTACTGGTCTGCCCCTACTGCTCTGATGCAGTGGCATAGGGAATCTTTGGTCGTATTCCTCTCCCTGGCCCCGCCCCCGACCTTTTGTGACCTGATCCGCCCCTGGCCTGGCGTGACCTGACCCCGCCCCTGACCTGGCGTGACCTGACCCGCCCCTGACCCGGCGTGACCTGACCCCGCCCCTGACCTTTTGTGACCTGATCCGCCCCTGACCTGGCGTGACCTGACCCGCCCCTGACCCGGCGTGACCTGACCCCACCCGTGGCCTGGCGTGGCCTGACCCCGCCCCGACCTTTTGTGACCTGACCCGCCCCTGGCCTGGCGTGACCTGCCCCCACCCCTGACCCGGCGTGACCGGACCCCACGTGCGCAGGGCGAGCCTGAGTTCCTGGGCCGGGCCGTAGCCACGCCCACCGTCCACCTGGACCCGAGCAAGGCCCACCCACCGCCGCTGCAGTGGTTCAAGTTCAGCAAGGGCGACAACGACAGCGCAGGTCAGTACCGGCCGACGGCGCCTCGAGCCTGACTTGACCTGACCTAACCTCATCTCACCTGCAGATCCGGTGTTTGAGGCACGGGTGGTGCTTCTTAACATGATGGAGGACGCTGGAACCATCTTCCGATGCGCATTTGTAGCTGCACGACGCGTTGCATTTTGTCGCGGCATTCGCGCATTGCACGGGAACTTGCGCCTCTATGTCGTTTGCACTAAACTTGATAATGTCGCGGTACATTTTGTCGTGTTGTACACGATCATGACAGCAGGCATGGCATTAACCGGCGTATTATCGGTTGTCAACTCCACGCAGTTGCTATGTTGTGTTGGATACATTTTTATTGTGTTGTTCTCGATGTCAGGGTCGTTATGATCTACGCTTTCATTTTTGGTCGCAGCTAGTTTTTTAACGATGTTTCAAGCGGTACCTTTCACCTGAAGCGGACCAAATAGATTTGGGTGGTTCGGCCGCCCTGTCCTGCCACGGGTGGTGGGGCCACCGCGTGCTGTCCAACGTTAGCACAGTGTAAGCCGAGGAAGTAAATTAATCTTCCACTCGCCGCATACGCTGCTGAGCGGTTGAAATCGCCAGATGACGAATAAAATCCAGAATCTCATAAAGATAATCTCATCGCTTGACTTCGCTTTAACTCAAGGATAATCTCATTTCAAACGCAGTTATCTGTGGGGAGCGTTGGTGAGCTGTTCCAAAGCGCGCAACAGAAGCCGTCCTCGATGCGGGCTCTGTCGGTGTCGCCCCGTCGGCACGGGGGACGGGCTCGTAGCGAGCAGCTGGAGCAGCTCCGTTGTCTGGGTGCTGTTCCGACGCCGCTGGCTGGGCGGCCTGGCCGCTGCGCTGGCTGGGGACGGGCGGCCCGCATGTGACCGGCCATCGTGTGCGCGTAGCCTCTGGCTGGGGACGAGAGCGGGCGTACCTGAAGCCCTCGGAGCGGGGCGAGCTCTCCGACAGGCCCTACCACGGTCAGTGTGACGTCAGGCTGACGTCACGGACAGGCCGGCCGGACGGCGCGGCAGCTTCTGGTTGGTGCCGTTCGTGGCGTCTGGCGTCGTTTTGGTTGTGCTTTTGTTTTGACGTTGCTGTTGTTCTGTCGGCTTCGTTACGTCGAGATAAGTGGATGTGCCGTGTTTTTCTTCATAACTTCGCATGGCCGGCTGCGGACCTGCTTCCCTGTTTTGTGTGTGAAACTTACCTCGACTAGCATTCGTTGTTTTCTATCATCGTTGCGGCTTGAGTCGTCGGTGCCTTGGATCGGTTTGGGGCGTTCCGTGCCCACAATTTCGGTGGAAAGTAACGCCGAAATGATGCGCTTCAAAGAGGACGTGTTATCTGGTCTTGGTGGCGACACATGCGAAACGATGGCGTGCAGCACGTTTGTAACCGTCGCCTCCAGTTCAGCTCTGTCAATCATTCTCCAACAAGACGCCTACTGTTTGAAATAAACGACCGTAGAGATTCGTGCTCAGCGAAGTGTGTGTGACCCCAAACCGCGCGCTTGCCGTGTGTCATTAATGAGCGTAGGTTAAAGAGTCTCCGTAATCTGTCTTGTGATTCCCTAACACGCGGAATTATCGTTGTCTGCTATCTGCCCGTGAATCGTTGCCAACGAGCTTGTCACGAGCGCCATGTGATATCACTGTTGATCCCCTGTAAGATGGGGTATGCTTTCTTACGTAATATCCTACGTGATTGATTTATATATATATATATATATATATATATATATATATATATATATATATTTAATTTAATACGTATAAGTTATCTCATGTTATAATTTAATTTAATACGTAATTATAATTTCCTACGTGATATCGTCCACGGCGGTGGTTCATTGCCATTCCTTTCGCCGCAATCTCCCCGGCGGTGTGGGTCCTCTCCGTCTCTCAGTCCAGTAAGTTGTCCGCGGATTCCCGCGGATGGAAAGCGCTTTGCTCTGATTCGTTATTGTCACGTGCCGTCCGCAGGCCTCTCAACTGCGCACTGTCTGTGTTTGCTTTCTGGGTTACGGTGTCGTGCCTCTATTATGTTAAGCGGCAGTTTTTTTCTCGAGAGTTGGCGGTCTTAATGAATAATGTACAGATACACAAACAGTGATGATTATATTAGATAATATAATGCATAATTTTGGTATTGACATAATGATCATTATAGCAATTCATAAGTATATATATACACATACATATACACACGTGCACCTGGGCCGTTGAGGTCGTATGACAATGTAGCTGCCCTAGTGCCCTAGGGTTCCGATTAAGCCCTTATCCGCGACGCAGGCGTGGTGGTTGAAAGCTGCCCCTGCCCCAGGTGGCCACGTAGTCCCCCCTCGCATGTCATTGATTTCAAACCCAGATGGCATGTCGTCGCCTATCGTTGCTGTAGGCGAGTTGGTAAGGCCGCCTCTGAGACGTAGATCACCCCCATACTCCTGTTCTCGTGTCAGGCTGCCGTGTGCCCCTGTGGCCGCCCCAGGTCCAGAAGAGCCCCGCCCCACAGCGGGTGTGTCTCGTCCTCCCGTCAGCCGCCCTCGTGACCCGACCTGACCTGCGCGTGACCCGGTGACCCGCGCGTGACCCGGCCGCCGGTGCCACAGGTGAGCTGCTGGCCTCGTTCGAGCTCTACTGCAAGGTGTCGGAGCTGCCGTTTCCTGCCGCCGACGAAGAAGGGTGGCACGCTGTACTACGTGCCCAGCGGCATACGGCCCGTGCTGCAGCCGTACCGCCGTGGAGGTGGGAGGAGGGCCGCGCCCGTCCGCCTGTCCGCCTGTCCGTCCGCCTGGTCGCTCGCCCGCTCGCTGGCTTTCTTGCGCTCTGCCCCGTCCCGACCAAGTCACATAGGGCCGTGCCGGGGAAGGGGAGGGTTAATGGTTTGTGGTTTGTGGTTTGTGGTTGTGGGCGGAGGGGAGGGGAAAGCAGGCCTAGATGTTTTGGTCGCGGAGTTTTCGGTTGTAGTGGCGTCGTTACGAGGGAAACAGTGTAAATGATTCTTGGCATCTGCGCCTCTTCATGCCTCTGTCTTACTCTATGTCTCTATCTGTTTTGTGCCCTTTGCCTGTTGACATGTACTCCCCTATATTTTAATGCATCCGAATGCGTCATGTGGTCTGTTGTATATAGCGTGATCGCGTGAATTAGGATTTCCCGACACCAGCTGTCCTTTCTCGTTGGGAGATACAGACTGAGAGGGTATTGCACGTGAATTTCTCGTTCTCAGATGCGCTTTCTGACGGTGAGAAACCCAGAGCTTGTGCGATAGTAGCGTTGCGTTCGTTCGCCGGCATGGAAACCTTCCGTTGAGAAGCAAGGGGTGTAAATTATTCCATATATGAACAGCCCCTCCCCTGCCTCTCATTCTACCGTTCTGGTAACCGGTGGAGAGCGTCCCTGGTGGACACCTTAACACAGTAACAAGCGCTCCCCCCGCCTCCCGACTGCTGCACCAGCCAGTGGAGAACGTCCTGGTGGTAATCACTTCCCCGTACCTTTCTCACGTCTTCCAGGTCATGTGGTGATAGCAGCAGGCTTTTAAGATGTTTTTCCAACTGCGCTGGCTTCTGACTGTTGCCACCAGACCTTGCTTCGGCATGTGCGGCGCAGGACAATTCGCGTCCTCCGGCGACACGGTCGGGGTAGTCCATCGGCCCCTGTGCCGCCGCGGCAAACTGACCCTTCTGCGCTGCCCGACCCGCCGGGGACTTCTCGCCAGCCGACGCTGTGCCGCCCGCAGATCCTGTGCTGGGGCGTGCGCAACATGAGGTCGTTCGAGCTGCGCTCCGTGCGCAACCCGGCCATCGAGTTCGAGTGCGCCGGCAAGGTGGTGACGTCAGAGGTCATGGGCGACGTCAAGCAGCATCCCAACTTCGCCGACCCGTTCCTCTTCATGGAGATCGTGAGTGGGGGCTGCCGCCCAAAGGGGGGGGGGGAGATCAGATTTTCGCACGCAGTCGGTCGGCCGCGCTTGTGGTGGAGGCTCGCGGGTGCGACGATGGATGGACCGCGAAAACTGAACTGGTGACGGGATGTCCGGGACCGAATGTATGTCATAATTATACCTACGTGCTTTTACGTGGTATCTGTATACGTGGTATTATAAATACTAACGTGCTTATTGCGTAGGTATTTATGACGAGGTATTTCGTCGTGCTTGTACGAGTATTTTTTCGGTAGGTACGCTGAGCGATGCTCTGATTTGTGATAACGGAAAGCGCGCCCGACCGAACGAGGTTCGTCTCAAACCTGTGAAGTCGTCTGCTCGTGCCGCTGATGCGGCTGCCGCTGCCGTAGATGCTGCCGAAGGAGCCGCTGTACATGCCGCCGCTGAACATCAAGGTGCGGGACCACCGCAGCTTCGGCTCGCGGCCCGTGGTGGGCACGCACGTGATCCGCTCCCTGCACGAGTACAGCATCGAGCCGCTGATGAACGTCAAGTGAGTGGCCGCCTCCCTCCACCCCCTCCCGGTGAATGCCGTGGGCGGCCGGCGCGGAGTGTGGGTAGTGGGAGCGGGCGAGCCGCTGATGAACGTCAAGTGAGCGGACCGGCTCGCCGCCTCCACCGTACCCCGAGGAACGCCGCGAGCGGCCGGCGGGGAGTGTGGGGGATGGGAGTTGGCGCGCGGCGTGAGGTGTGGGATGAGGGCGATTACCAAGTGTGGGTGCTAGTATGGAATGTGGCGATTACCAAGTGTGGGTGCTGGTATGGAATGTAAGTGTCGATGCGGAGTGCCAAGGCCGGTGTGCAGCGTAAGTGCTGCCGTAAGCTGTCAGCTGTTTTGCGGACTGGCGAGCTCTGTTGGGGAGCATGAGGACTGGCGCAGGGCGTGGGCATCGACTTGGAATGTGAATCCTAGCGTGAGACATGGCCACGGATGTGCTGTATGAGTACCGGGGACGCCGGGAGGGCTCCGTGCGTCAGTTATGCCGCTCTGGACGCGAGCGCCGGGTTAGCCGCAGTCGCCGGTACGTGGTGTGCAGTATGTCAATGTTCGGCCACTTGGGTGGCAGGAATTTCGGATTTTTATGCCATTTTACCCCCGGTTTGGGGTTCACTGTCTGTCGCCCCGCTCCTGGCTCACAATCGACCAATCAGCACCGATCCGGCCGGCGGCCAACCGAGCATCTAAGTGCCTCAGGCTTGACGGACGCAGGTCAAATGTCAGGTTTCGGGGTCAACAGGCAGCGAGTTGCGTCCGTAGGCCTCTGGAGAGCCAGGATTCTGGCAGCATTAATGTATATTCGCATCCTGCACACCCTACTGGACGTATTTTGAAAGGCAGGAGCGCTGTGGCGGCCGGCGGCAGATGTGACCCCGGTTGCCGGCGGCCGATGTGACCCGGTCGCCGGCGGCCGATGTAACCTGGTCGATGTGACCCGGTCGACGGCGGCCGATGTGACCCGGTCGATGTGACCCGGTCGCCCGCGTCCGATGTGACCTGGTCGCTGGCGGCCGATGTGACCTGGTCGCTGGCGGCCGGTGTGACCCGGTCGATGTGACCCGGTCGCCCGCGTCCGATGTGACCCGGTCGCCCGCGTCCGATGTGACCTGGTCGCTGGCGGCCGATGTGACCTGGTCGCTGGCGGTCGATGTGACCCGGCTGCTGTCGGCTGATGTGACCCGGTCGCCGGCGGCCGATGTGACCCGGTCGATGGCGGTCGATGTGACCTGGTCGATGTGACCCGGCTGCTGTCGGCTGATGTGACCTGGTCGATGTGACCCGGCTGCTGTCGGCTGATGTGACCCGGTCGCCGGCGGCTGATGTGACCCGGTCGCCGGTGGCCGCAGGTCGAAGCCAGTCCGCCGCCAGTCGACCGTGCACCGGCAGTCGACGATGACGAGGCAGTCGACCGTCATCGACATAGATCCAGCCATCCCGGAGGGCAGCCCGGCCGGCGGCGGCGGCGACGAGCAGGTACTGTGTCCGTGCAGGGCGTGTGGCCCGCTGCCCGCCTGACGACCGCCTCCCAACGCCCGCCTCCCGGTGACCGCCCCATGGAGACCGCCTCCCGAAGACCGCCTCCCGACGTCCGCCTCCCAACGCCCGCTTCCCGATGTCCGCTTCCCGGTGACCGCCTCATGAAGACCGCCTCCCGAAGACTGCCTCCCCGTGACCCCCTCCCGGCGACCGCCTCATGAAGACCGCCTCCCGACGCCCGCCTCCCAACGTTCGACTCGGCCTAAAGACGCCCGGTGAATCAACCGCCGCCGTCTGCTGTGACTAATTCCGCTGTTTCCCGTCGTTTCTCTCCCGTCCGTGTTAGTTTGCAGGCGGGAAATGCCTGCTGTTCACCGCCTGTGTTAGTGCTTGTGTGATGCCCGCGTGTGTGCGTGTGCGTGCGGTCACTCTCCAGCCGCCCAGGCTAGCGCGCTGGCACTGCGTGCTCGCTGCTTGCTGTCGCTAGCGTGCTGCCAGCCAGCGCTGTGTTTTGGCCCGCGTGAGCTCCGCCTCAGATGTGCGTCATTTTGCTGTAAACGCCCTGCTGACGGACCGTGGTACCGTGGCATACTGGGTAGGTATGAACCTGAATGTGCCGGTTGAGACTGTGTCACAGTAGGCGTGGCACGCAGGTGGTCTGGGCGGAAGCTCGCTCTCACACAGTCGCGTCAGTGTTCATACTGTTCTGGAGCGCGCGTCCGGCACCGGGGCGGCTTCGATCGCCGCTCGGCGTGCTGAAGCCGCAGGTCACACTTCTGTGCGTCTTCTCCTGCCCGTAACTGCCCAGTAACGCCCGGCCTGCACTCTCCCTGCTGGAGAGTGCTCATTGCTGCGAGCCTGTTTCCTGACTTGAGGGAGCGTTCGTTGCTGCGATCCTTGTCTCTCCAGACTGGTCAGTGTGTCGAGTGTTGTGATCCTTGTCGGCCGCTCTCCTCCGTCTCCTTTTGAAAGAGCCCGTGCAGATATCGTGGCCCGCCGCGAGGTAAGTGTGGCGAGGGCGCTCTCAGTGCAGATCAGGACGAGTCTGGCGGGTCTGGAACTGGCCACAGCTGCTGCCGATGGTGGGGCCGCTTCGGCCGGCGGTTCAGCGTCATCTAAGTTGTGATGCCGAGCCTGCATGGTTCGTAACGGGTGGCCACAGAGTCCCACCCCGTAACGGGCCGACTGTGGCCCGGCTGTGGCTGACTGTGGCGGGCCGACTGTGACCATTATCGACCCTTTTCCTCTCCGCCGCCCCACACACCTCGACGCAGCACTCGTGGCTTGGCTATGGGCAGGATCATACCGATATTTTCCGGTGTTCATAGTTGTGTCCCTACGCTCACGGTTCTTTTCCCGCTACATGCCTGGATAGGCGGCCGAACATGGCCCCGTTCGCGTCGCGATGGCCCGTTTTCCGCCGCGCACCCTGACGGTCGATTGTACCCCAGCTGGTTGCCGTGGACGCGGCGCCGGCGCTGGCGGCGCCGGCTAGCGCCGGCCGGCGAGGCCGCTTCGGCCGCTCCAACAACTTCGAGTACCAGCAGCTGTCGGACCTGGAGTCGCAGATCGCGGTGGCCGGCGCGCCGGCGGCGCCGCCGCGCCGGCCGCCGATGGCGCGCGCGATGACGCTTGGCGCCGCCGAGGAGGCGCCCATGACGGCCGTCTCGATCCATGGCAACTTTAGCGGCAGGGAGGGCTTCGAGCACGCGCAGGTGCTGAAGAAGGCCGCCGTGCGCGAGCCCAGCCTGGCCGTGCAGGAGCGCACCGAGTTCGTGCACGCGCTGGAGCAGCACGACCCGGAGGTAATGCCCCGGAGCCGCTGGTTCCGCTACTCTCCGGCAGGTGTCTCCCCGGACTCCTGTTCCAGACTCCTGTTTCGGACTCCTGCCTGTCGCTCTCCTTGTTGAGGTGGTTCTGACGATGCTTTGGTTCTGGTGGCATTGCGGAGACCTGCATGACTCCAAACGAGGGTGAGGGTGGCTCGGTGACGCGGACTGCATCCATTACCGACATCTGTCGGTGAGCGTCGAAACTGAGGCTTCGGCCGCGGCCGACAGGCACGGAGCTTTCGCCACGCTTTGTGAATAGCGGCGTCGCAGTAGAGAGGTGGTGGCGGTCGTAGCTACCAAGCCAAGGCATGGTGGCGTGAATGCTCCCTCCACAAGACACGCGCGTGTCTTGGCTAACACGAGGGCTGGGGCTGGCTTGGTTTTGGTTCCAATTCGATGTTTTTTTTCGTATTTCTTTTTTTTCGCTCATTCGTATTTCGGCGGCAGTCGGCGGATGGGAGCCTGGTTCGGACGTCGGCGCCCTCAGCTGGGATGCGCATCGCGCCAGGCAGGCTTGGAAACGTCCTCCAGAGGCTCCAATGAAGGCCGCACCTTTTTCGAGCGATATTCTGGCAGAGGGCTTGTCCATGACGAATTGCGTGCGTCGTGAACTGACTTGAATTGAATTTTCGCCGAGAGCCATGTGCCCGAGGCATGCGTTGACCGATATATGTTTGTGATGCCCCCGTGCCTGTGCTGTCTGATGCCGTGCCCGGTGTGTTGCGCGAGTAGACTGTCTCTGACGTTGCACTGGACGTGGCGCTATGGTGGACGTGGCGCTGTGGTGGACGCGGCGCCAGACTCTGGTAACGTGTCATTTCGTTGAAAAATGTCCTGTTGTTGCTGGATGTGTGTGAATTGCATACCCCCATGCGTGTGCCATGTTGGAGGCATGCTGCCTCCATGCAAGTGGCTACTGAAGTGGTATGTGACCAGGAGTTCTCCTGCCTGTTCTGCGGTTGTGAAGTGTCTTAACGCTGTGCGGCGAGTGTTCGACTTCGTCCGCAACATCACTGTGGCTCTAGACCAGACGGCAGACTGCGCCGCCGAACTCAGCTCCCACCGGGTCTTGAACCCACGCCCTGTCACTCACGAGCCGAGTTGGCGTAGGGCTGGCGCACGTACCGTCTGCTGTCGCACGCCTTCCGTGGCGGCATGGACGGGCCGGGCGTCTTCAGCAGCACGGAGGCGCTGGTCGACGACGACCCGGTCGACCCGGACGAGGTGACGGTCGAGCGCGAGCGCCGCGCCGGGCTCGACCCGTGTTATGTGCAGCTGCTGGCGGGGACACGGAATGTAGACAACACATGCTCATATGTCAGCTCGGTCAGCTGTGTTATGTACGGCTACTGCCGCGGGACACTCGTTGTAACCGGCGCATAGTTCTGGGAGTGCATCTGTCTCTGTTTTATGTGTGGCTACTACCGCTGGCCGTTTCTGGCGTCTGCTGCGCGTGATGTCTGGATGTCGCGAGGGACACACACTGTGGTGAAGCAACAGTTGTCTATGGGGCCGCGCCTTTTTGTCGTGCTGCTCACGCGGCTGGCAAGTCGCTTGCCTTTGTTCGTATGCCAGCTCTCGAACGTCGACACGCTTTGGGACACTACATACCGCCGCATCGGGCAACGGTGTACCGTTGTCTGATCGCTGTACCACATGATTCGCACGTCTTCCCTGTGGTGGAGCCCAGCAGACAGCCGAGAGACAGATCAGCCTCTTTAGAGACATGTGTCTGTGGTTGGAACTCTTTCTGTGCTGGAACTCAGTGGGGAAAAAGGCCGCGTGGTCCGTGTACTCCGCTGTTATGTTAAGGTTAAGGTAATTGATTGCCAAAGCATGTAGGTGATCATATAAGTAAACTTACGCTTTTTTGAAACCTAATGTATGCTTAGATATACACATATGTCCCATTGTTTATGGTTATGCTTTTTAGCTACAAAATATAGATTTCGGGCTGGTCTTTTAAACTTCTGGTCTCTGCACTTGGCATTCAGTCACCTTTTGTCTGTCGCAAGACAGACAAAGACAGTCACCTTTAGTCGCGAGAGTTTGCGGTCTCTCGCGCCGAATGCAGTAAACAACCGAACCGAAAAACACGACCGGTGGTGAGCCTCGAACCCGCCACCTTCGGGACACAACTCACGCATCGCTGCTCGGCTATCCTCCGTCGCTCGCCGTGCTCTGTTTGTACCGCTTACGCTGCGACACGCGCCCGTCACGTGACATGCATCAGTCATGCGCTTACGTCTAACGGCGGTCGGCCGCTGTTGTCAACGTTGGCTCGTCTGTACGTGCTTCGTTCTTCCACGCGTCCGATTACAGGGTGTGTATGTCTGCTTCGCAACGTGGAAACGTCTTCTGTCGTCACAAGCGCGGACAGCGGTTTAGATTTGGAGCGCTGTGATTGCTACCGGGACTTAACATGCCGCTTATAGAATGCTTTTCGATGCTGTGTTCGTGTAAGCCAGGGATGCGCTGCACTGGATACGGGACATTGTCGCGGCAGGGGGCATGTGCCTGCTTTGTCAAGGATACCTGTGATGCAGCTGGGATACTGGACAATTGCTCCGTTGGCGATGCTGAGACTGCGGTGTGGCCGCCTTGTGTTCCGCCAGTGCAGGGCTCCCTGGTCCGTCGGGGACCGTAAGCTCCCCGAGCACGAGCTGTTGATTCCGGGGGCGCGTCTCCTGTCCCGCCTCGTCACCGGCGGGGGCCAGCCTTACCGCCGAGAGCAGCTGCACAGTCGGGCCGCGTGCAACGAAGGTGATGGTGGAAACGGGTCGTGCCCAGCTGGCGCTTGCACGCCGCGGTGCAAGCGCCAGCTGGGCACGATCCGGTGCGCCTTGCGATCGTCCAGTCCCGTGTCTGGCTGTTCGGAGCGTGCTGAGCGCGTAGACGCTGGAGTGTCGCCGTTGAGGTGTCGTTCTGCGAGGATGTGGCGCGCGTTCTGAACGCGGCGGCGCCGTGGTGAGAGCGCTGGCTGTGCTGTTGCCGGGAGAACGTCGGGTGTCGGCGACCCGGTGGCCCGCGCTGGGACACTGCCGACCGCTGGCGTGCGAGACAGGCGGGGCTTGGTTGATGTGCTGATTGTCGTCGCCGGGTATCAGACCGAACTATGACGTCACCTGCAGACGGTGACGTCACACGACTCACCTGCAGGCGGTGACGTCACGGCTCCGATCGGAAACAATGGCCACTGCTGCTTACTGTGTCAGCTGTGACAGTTGTGGGGAGTTTTTGAACGCTGCCGCTGGGATACAGCACTGGCGCAGGCTTACACGTGGACCTTGTGACTGGTCTGCATGGATCGGTGTGGACAGCGCCCTCACTTGGGCTGCCACAGGCGCCGTTTCCGGTTGCCGTCTCGTTGCGCACACGGCTGGACTTTCAGCGGTGCCGCGCGCCGCAAAGGGAGCTTCGGTGTGTTTTCTTCCGCTCCTCGGCTGCATGACGGGAGATGTGCGATGTCCAGGATGTGTATGGCCAGGCTTGAGAACACGCGTGCTGGGAATGTTGAGATGCAGGATGTCATAACGCCTGTTACCGTCGGACATGCTCAGACCTGTAGCTCTCAGACCAGCAGCTCTCAGATCAGCAGAGCTCAGACGTGCAGGCCTCAGACGTGCCGCGCAGGGCAGCAGGGACGGTCCCACCCTTGCGGGGCAGGGACCGTCCCTTCCCCAGGGCAGGGCCGTCCCTCGGGCCGCAGCGGCTCGTGCGCAGATACAGCCTAGCTGCACGGGCAACACATACCGGGCTCCAGGGCGCTGGGTTACAGCAGGAGTTGTGCCTACATTGACACGGAGCATCGTGCGTGCGTGTTACGCACCGTAGCGCCGCTTTCTAACCACTAACATCAGCTGTATGCGGCCGAGCTTGAACATCCTGCACGAGGCCGCCGTGCCAGCTGCCCCGCGCTGCACGCGCCATGACTGCCCCCCCTCCCTCTGCTCGCCCCCCCCCCCCCGCTCGGCCCCCGACGCTGGCGCCCGTATCAGGTCGCGGTGGTCACATCGGTGCTGTTCAGAAACTGACGGACGTTGTCAGCAGGTTAGCTTTCGCGGGTCGCTGAGCGGGTCTGCCTGGAGCCTTTATGAGCGACACCAATGTTGCCGCCGGTCTGCTCTAGGGTGACAAATTTGACGCTGTCATTTATTCTATTTATTTGTGATTGAAATCCTACGATTTACTGTGGTCTACCATAACAAAGCACCACGTTTCCCGGCGCGTGAATAAGTCGCGATCAAAAAGGAAAAAACCCAGTATGTCAAATGTCTGAAAAGTAGCCTCTTGCCGTGGCCAGTCAACTTGTCAGTCACCGCGGGTCAGTTTCTGAACAGCGGCGCTGTTTCCGCCGCTGGCCGCGCGGCGGCGCTGGGGTCCAGCCGGCAGTTGCCGCTTGCACTAACCGCACGCCCGCCGCCGCTGCTGACGTAGTCCGATGGGCGACTGCCGCGGCCGGAGCACGCCTCTGACCCGGGGTCAGAGGGCGGGTCAGAGGTCACCTCCGAGACGCGGCGACGCCCCGGCGACGAGTGGCGAGAGAAGGTGGGTGCGGCGGGGGCGCGTCCAGGCGACGGCGGCAGGGGACGCCCGGCCTATGCGCGGCCGGGCTCCAGTGGCGAGCCGAAGACGCCGCCTGGCCGCGCCCCTGCCGAACAGTGTTCTAACGCCTTGATGTTTCTCAGTTACAAACATCACTTCCGACACTAGGAAATCGCTGAAGTGTGCTGGAAAGCAGCAGACGCATTGTAACAAAACTTAGCAAAAGTGCCTTTTTGCACGTGGCCACAGGACTGTAAGATATTCACTTTTCTTTATTTTGAACTCCGACTTCCTCCAATTAATTTTTTTAAATTTAGGTCTCGTCTTCTTCTTCACACCGTGAATAACGCCCAAACCATAGAAGGTTCACAATATTTTCGAAGTTCCTAAGCTGTTTGCGTGCGTGTGTCACGCGGCCTCTAACCGGCGGGCGGGTGTCAAGGCGGAGGACCGCGACAAGAACCTGGACTGGTGGAGCAAGTACTACGCGTCGGCCGGCGAGCTCAGGAAGTGCGGCGACTACCTCAAGCGAGGGTGAGCCGACCCACCGGTAGCTTCTCTCCAGCCCGACACCCCAGTCGGTGGGCCGGGGGGAGGCTACGCTCTTGGTCCGCGCGGAGGCTACGCTCCGGTGGTGTGCGGCGCGTGGCGACGGAAAGCCCCGTCAACTCTCCCGTGAGGATGGCTGACGTGACGCTGTGGAAATGACGATGCCGGTTCGATCTGGGACCTTCAGCCTGTGACCCCGCATGCACGCGGACATTTAGGTGAAATGTGGAGTTCTTCAGCGCAGAGGAGCTGCCCAGCACCGTCGGTGTGTGCGACTGTTTTTGCAGAACCATGCCACAGCGAGGTGTACGCGGTGCAGTCTCCGTGTTCCGATGCCGTCTTCTCTACGAGTTGAGAAGTTGAACATCTGCCCGCTGGAACCCGCTAGGTGTTCACCGTCTTCTGCGGCAGGTACGAGAAGCTGGAGATCTACCCGGTGGAGCTGGAGCGGGTGGCGTGCTTCGACCACTTCAAGGACATCCTGAACACGCTGGACATCCACCGCGGCAAGTCGTGTGAAGACGAGGAGTCGGCCACCGTCGGCGAGTTCAAGGGCACCATGCGGGTCAGTGGGGTCGCGCGGAAGCGCCAGTGGGGTCGCGCGGAAGCGCCAGTGGGGTCATGCGGGAGGGTCAGTGGGGTCACGCGGAAGCGTCAGTGGGGTCACGCGGGAGGGTCAGTGGGGCTACGCGGGGGGGGGGGGGGTCGACGGGGGCAACTGTACTACTGATGCATTGTGTGTTTGCGTTGTGATATGACTATCATGATTGTGTTGTGGCCCCTGACCTCTTCCCACTTGTGCAGTTGTGACCCCTTGACCTGTTGGCAGGTTTACACTGACCTCTGACCCCTGACCTGTACACTGTTATCTGATCTATACACTGACCTTGTACCTGTGCACTGACATTTGCCCTTTCCGCAGGTGTGCCTTGAGCCCTGACCTGTGCGCTTATCTCAGACCTCTGCAAGTGTGTACTGACCTGACCTATACACAGATGTATGCTGACCTCTGACCTATACACTGACCTCTGACATGTGCACCGACCCCTGCCCTATCCGCAGGTCTACGCTTCGCTCTGAACTTACCTCTGACCATTCCCGCAGAAGAACACTGCCCTTTGACATGACCTCTGACCTGACCTTTGACTCGGCAGGTGTACACGCTGCCGGACGATCCGAGCCTGCCGCTGCCTCCCCGACAGATCCGTGGCATCCCGCCGTCAGCATCTGAGGAGGTCATCGTCCGCGTATACTTCATCAGGTGCCGTAGAGCTTCAGGCCCGCAGCGGAAAGGTTGTGGGTTCGAACCTCGCCACCCGCTGTGTTTGTGTTGGCGCGTTCGATGGGATGCATGTAAGCTTCTCGGGTGAATATATTTTCTCGTGTTTCCCTCTGCCCCTTTTTGTAGTTTCCTTTCTTTGGCTGGTTTTTGGCGGTTGACCCTCGCGCTGACCCGTGTTGGCGTCAGCTTCGTGTCATGTGCTTGTTGAGGCGTCGCGGTTTGCCGCACGCTGATCGCATTGCGCGGCGCGCGTGCGTGCGTCCGCGTGTCTCATCTCATCCGACGGTGGCGCCCCTGGCGGCAGATGCTGGGACCTGTCGCCGCAGGATTCCAACGGAATGTCGGACCCGTACCTGCGCGTGCAGCTGGGAAAGCAGAAGCAGGACACCAGGGACCAGTACCGGCCCAACACGCTCAACCCCATCTTCGGCAGGTGCGAGAGCCACCGGGTCTCATAAACGCGATGCGATTTTATTTCGGGCCGGCGTCATGGCCACCGCACAGCTCGTCGTGCTCGTCCGCCAGTCGGATTGGTGCTTACTGATTTACGAACACTTACGAATTTACTACGAAATTATTACTGCGAATTTACTTACGAATTTACTACGAACACCGTTACCTGTCGGTGTCGGCCCAACTTGTCCACTGTTGTCATCGGAGCTCGCGGACGAGGTCCGCCGGTGGTGAATACGCGAGATCTGTGGGTCGACGTCGCCCCGTGTCGTCTGACACTGCCCGGTATTGTCTGACACCGTCCTGTGTTGACGGACACTATTGGCCTTGGTTGACTGTTGACTGGGTTGACACTGACCGTGTGGGTTGACACCATTGACATTGGTTTGATGTAGGCTGTGTCATTGGACTGCGTCCTGTACTGGCTGACACTGTTGACACTTTTTGGCTGTGGGCTGTGTTGCCTGACATCATCCTGTGCCAGTTGACACCATTGACTTTGGTTGGCTACGGGCTGCCTTGTGCGACACCGTTGACCGTGGTTGGCCGCTCCTGTGTTGTCTGACGTCATCCCTTGCCGGCTGGCACCGTTGGCTGACACCGTTGGCTGACACCCTCGCCGCCCCTTCGGGACCTGACCCGCGCCTGCCGCCCGCCCCTTCAGCTTCATGGAGTTCACCTGCATGCTGCCCAAGGAGAAGGACCTCACCGTGTCTGTCATGGACTACGACCTGGTCTCGAAGGACGACCTGATCGGCGAGACCAAGGTCGACCTGGAGAACCGCTACATGACCAAGTACCGCGCCACGTGCGGCATACCGCGCGAGTACCACCTGTGAGTACGGAGGTACCCGGTGTACAGACAAAGGTCCGGCTCGCGCGACCTGGGCTGATGGCTGGGGGACTTCATTTCGGTCGTTGTGATTCCCCGTTTGGGTGTTCTTGGCAAGTGCGCTGTCTTCTCTGTGTGATGTCTTCTTGTGAATTCTGCTGAGGTCGCATCCATGTCGATGTTGTTATTTAGTGTGTGCGCATTCTCGGATCAACATGATGTCGTCAGTGATATAACTCGAGCAGAGAACTTGTTCCCAGTTAAAATACAGAGGCATTGTTTCACTGGCACTTGAAACAACGCAGTTGTTACTAATCCTGTGAGATAATCTAGCTATCAAATATGATCTGTTGGGTGCACCTGGGAGTAAGAACCCGTGCCCGTATTTTCCACCCATGTGCCCGTCTTCCCCTGTCAAGGCAAGCCCCGTAGCGGTGATGACCTCGACCCCACGTGACCTGACCTGACCCCGCAGGTCGGGCCCGAACCAGTGGCGCGACGCCCAGACGCCGCGCGAGATTCTGGAAAACGTCTGCGAGACCAACAACCGCTCGCAGCCGCTCTGGCTCTCCAAGACGGAGGTGGTCATCGGCAACAAACACTACCGGCTCAGCGAGCTGGAAGGTCAGTGAAAGATCAATAAGGTCAGCTGGAAGGTCAGTCGAGGAACAACATTTTCATGGTTTTGGGGTGTGGAAAGAAGCTGTCGGGGCAGGATCGCCTGGCTTGGTGGGGTTGTCGCTGTCGTGAGGCGCGTGGAGATTTGGTTGGTCAGTGAGAACGGACCAAGTTCAGGATTTGCGCATCCAGAGACCGAAGCGTTAAATGTGGGTCGTCACACGGGGTTTGGCCGTTGCCCGGAGATAGTCTTTTCCAACGGCCGGAGCTCCAAGCCTTCCTGAACTTGTCCTCGGCCGCCTATATCAGGTATCAGGCCGCAGGCGCGCCCACTGCTACATTCATTCATGTTCACATCGACTTTAAGTTGTGAACATTACGGTTATTACTGATTATTTTTATTCACCATCACATCATTATCACTATCATTTCACTTTTGTTTCTGTATCAATATCATTTCATTTTCGTTCATTCATACCTGCATTCACTGTGCCGTTCTTGATGTGTGCTGACCTTCTAATGTTCTTGACCTAATATTCTTCTGACCTTTTAATGTTCTTGACGTGTGCCGTATTTTTCTAATGTTCTTGACGTGTGCGGCGACGCGGCAGACCGGTCGGCGGAGCGGCCGCCGACGCTGGGCCCGGACGACGAGAGGCTGGCGCTGCTGGTGCTGCACACGTTCGAGCTGGTGCCCGAGCACGTGGAGACGCGCCGTCTGTTCAACCCGGCCATGCCCGACCTCGAGCAGGGGAAGGTGGGCAGACGCGGGTGGGGGCCGGGGGGTGGGGTGAGCCGGTGGGAGGGGAGGTGCGAGCCAGGACGAGGGGGCTGGGGAGGTACTGGCCGGGACAGGGGAGATACGAAACTGGGACTGGAGAGATACGGATTTTGACTGGAACTCGCCGGGGATTTCGGCTGACTCCCGCTACTGGCTGCGATAGAACATGCAGTATTCAGCGACTGGTGCTTTGTTTCGTCAGGTGCCGGCGCTGTGGAGAGAGCGTTGAAGTCGTAACGTGATACTGTGCAAATGAAGCCGTTGCATACTGACTAAGCCGTCTAAGTGGTGTTGGCCGTATTACACCCGTTGCCTTTGGTCGTCACTGGGCCCTGCGGTGGAGTCGGTGCCCCGCTTGGACGTGCCTCCCGATGGCTGATGTCAGCGCGTCATCGGCCGCACCGGCGTCCGCTTGACGAGTCGGTGCTGACTCGCGCCGTGTTCCAGCTGGAGATGCTGGTGGACATCTTCCCGAAGTTGGCGGGTCCGCCAGGTCCTCCGTTCGACATCACGCCCCGCGAACCCAGCAAGTAAGCACTGCTCGAGCCCTGCGGCACCGGGGAAGACCGGCGCTGCGCTGTTGCTGCTTCTGTGCGGGTCCACGTCCGGCACACCTGTCCTAAACTGGCTGGAGGCGCGTTAGAGGGCGTGACCTTGAATCTTGTCTGGCTTTCTGACTAGCCTGGCTCGGCTGTCCGCGCAGATATGGTGATGACACATTCTGACACATAGTGATGGCATATGCGTGGTTATCTACCTTTTATAGATGATCACGTTCACTACCAATGTCCTGCTGCTTGTCCGTGAGACCGATGTCCCCTTATCTCCTTATCCCCTTATCCCCTGATCCCCTGTTACCCGTGGAAGATTCCCGCTGCCGTCGCGTTCGCCTGCAGTAATCACCTCGACATAACTCGCCGTCCCATCTCAGTCCTGCCGCCACGCATTTTCATCAGCTGGCGGGAGCGCCGGGCGGTAGGTGGTCGTTATGGAGTCGGCCATACATCACGTTTTAATGAGACTCATTCTGCGCCGCTCTGTCGGCGCTCGTAAGCCTCTCCCTGAAAGGAGAGCTGTCCCGCTTCCCGCAGTGGCTCTGAAGCCTGCGTCACTGGACAGGCTCCGCTCTGTGCGGTCTTGCGAGCTCAGGTCTGCTTGGTTTGCGTGGATGGCTTCTGGCTCTGAGGACGTGTTAGTCGTGAATTTGAGAACGTGCAGAGAATGTGGGAATGCCAAGGACGTGCTAAACATTAACGCGAGAACGTGCTAAGGACGTGAGGACGTTCTTAGAACGTGAGCACGTGCTAAGAACGTGAGAATGTGCGGCTAATGTGTTGAGAACATACTAAGAACGTGAATTTTATTAGAGCGTGCTGAGCAGAACAAGCCCTCGTGCACTGCGATGCCCCCTTATTGCAGCGCTGACATAGTGCATCGCGCGCAGTACCAGATCTCATCGTCGGATCGCGAGAACGCAGCTGTACCAAACCAGTGTCGTGGTTTGCGGCGCCGTTTACTGCACGATCGGTCATCTCTGCGCGGCGGACCAGCCGCTGTGTCGATGCGTGCCCGCGCCCTGCCGGGTCACTGACCCCCACGTCCTGCCGGGTCACTGACACCGCGTCCAGCCGGTCACTGACACCGCGTCCAGCCGGGTCACTGACCCCACGTCCTGCCGGGTCACTTATTCCGCGCCCTGCCGGGTCACTTATCCCGCCTCCAGGCGGGTCATTGACCCCAAGTCCTGCCGGGTCACTGACCCCATGTCCTGCCGGGTCACTGACCTCGCGTCATTCCGGGTCGCTGACCCCGCGACCCGCCGGGTCATTGACCCCGCGCCCCACCGGGTCACTGACCCCGTGTCCCGCCGGGTCACTGACCCCGCGTGACGTCGCCAGGTACGTGCTGCGGGTGGCGCTCTACAACGTGATGGACGTGGTGATGCAGGAGTACTCGGTCGTCTCAGGCAGCAACATGTCGGACGTGTACGTCAAGTGCTGGATCCAGGGCGACAAGAACGTGCAGAAGTCGGACGTCCACTACCGGTGGGTGGCGGGGACCGGCCGCGCTGCCTGCTATCGGCCAGAAGCGGCGGGCGGGCACCGATCGCCTGTATTTGTGTCCCATTCGCAGGAGACTGCTTGGCGAAATGTCGCTGGATTATGGGGAAGTTCTAGTTAACTGGGGTTCACTAGCAAGGCTGCCAAAATGCTGCCAACCCAAGTAGTGGATAATATCGCTGAATGCGAAGGCAACCTGCACATATCAAAAATGCGCGTTGTAGGTTATAGCTGATGAAGTTAATAGTTTTATTATAGCTTATAGTCTAAAGGGTCGTGACGGAAGTATTGGTAGAATAATTACTCACGATCTTTTTACGGTCTGTGCATTTGTGCTTCATTCTGTCGTGCTGACCTGTTAGCAGGCTGCGGGGCTGTCGTCTGGGGCTAGTAGTTATGTCGTATCCATTGTGCCGTTGACCAGGTCTTGGTCTCAGCAGTAACTACGCGATGATATGAACGCCTAAAGCCTGTGAGCAGTGTTCACCGAACCAGTTTTAGTGAACCCTTGTGGTGTGGAAATTAAGTAAGATTGGGGCACACTTTCGAATTGTGCTCGCGCCCCCGTACGAGGGTGGCTATAGTCGCGTTTGCTATGTGACCGTTCAGACAAAGCGGCTGAGAGTCTCCCGTCTCTATTTTTTTAATATTTTTTTATTATAATTGATTAATTAGTTAGAGTTTTAGCTAGTAGTGGGCGCGACTTTACTTTGTGACTTACTTTGACTTACATACCTCTCGCCATCGGGGTAGGTACACGTGAGACATTGGTGCTGGCGGTGTGGTCTAAGCGGAGGGTTTGTTCGTTCGGACTTTGCGCCGTGTGAGTTGTCTGCTGTAAGGCGACGCACGTTCGCGACCCGACATTCAATGCACTTTTGTAAAATAGCTGGCGATTCACCGTGATTTTAGTGATGTCCGTGTTTGATGGATTTAGAAGCGCACGCATGGACATTACAAGCGTATGTATTGATGTTTTGATTATGTATGTATGTATTTATATATGTATTTACGTATGTATCGATGTTTTGATGTGATGTACTCATGCCTTCTCTAAAGATGTAATTCCTCAGTTATGTGTGCTCAAACACCATGTTTCCGTTCTTGCTTGCCCACTCGTTTCTTCCCTTGCCGGGAGTTCCTAGAGTGCCTGCGGCGATCTTGGTCGGTATATTTGGGCGCGGTCTTGACCATCCGCGTCTGCAGCTGCATGGACGGGGAGGCCATGTTCAACTGGCGCTTCGTCTTCAACCTGGACTACTTGGAGGCCGAGAGAATGATCGTCATCAAGTCCAAGGTCAGTCGCGGGCACACGTAAGGCCAGTTTAGGCCACGCTTTTTCAAGGTCAATATAGGTCACGCTATTTCAAGGTCAGCCAAGGTCACAATATATCGGGGTCAGTCGAGGCCAGCCTGTGGCGCTACCGCGATGTCTAAAATCGGTCTGCTCGAGACTGGCAGGGTCATCACTCTTCGTCATGAACGCCAGCAGGTCGAGCGAGAACCCACAACAGTAACGGCAGGTGCGGCGTGCTGCGGTCATCAGCGCCACAAAGGAGCGAGGGAGGAGCGAGGTCCGGGAGGGCCATCAGGTCCGCGCCCCGATATCGGGCCAAAACACGGGTCATGTAACTCGTCGGGCCATCCGAGGCCTCTGGGTGACCGCCCTGGACACATCGCGTCCAGGCCACTCGCTCACATCGATCGGGCGTGCGATGATGGTGCCGACGATTCCGGCACGGTCTTTGAAGAATCCTCTGGACGTTCTCTCGCTGTGGCGGTACAGGTGGCCGCCACGCCTAATGTACGGATGGCGGTGTGCGTGATGGCGGCGTGCCGTGCTCCCCAGGAGCACTTTTGGAGCCTGGACGAGCGTGAGGACCACCGGCCGCCCAAGCTGATGTTCCAGATCTGGGACAACGACCTCATCAGCAAGGACGACTACATCGGTGCGTGTGCTCGCCGCCGCCGGCCCGACGTCGGCGCCATGCTCTTTCCCCGCTGACGGCGTGGTGGCGGCGTTCACGCCCTGGCTCTGCGGGTGTGACGTCTGCGCTTGTCAGCGTATCGTACTTGTCTGGTGTTTGTTGGTTTGTGCGGGTGAATCTGTCTGTCAGGTGAGACGAAACTGCTCATGACGTCTGTGTGTCTATGTCAGGTGAGCTGGGGCCGCTCTTGACCTCTGTATATCTGTCAGGTGAGCTGGAGCCGCTCCCCACGTCCGTGTGTCTGTCTGTCAGGTGAGCCAGAGCTGCTCCTGACCTCTATATACCTGTCTGTCAGGTGAGCTGGAGCTGCTCTTGACCTCTGTATACCTGTCTGTCAGGTGAGCCGGAGCTGCTCCTGACCTCTGTATACCTGTCCGTCAGGTGAGCTGGAGCTGCTCCTGACCTCTGTATATCCGTCTGTCAGGTGAGCTGGAGCTGGACCTGAACCGCCTGGTCTGCCCGGCCCGCACGGCCGCGGACTGCACCCTGAAACAGATCGAGGCCGTCGCCGAGGCCGACGACGCCGCCAACAACAACGCCATGCAGGCCCTCACCGACAGCCTGCGACGGCGCAAGAAGGACGAGTGAGTGACGGGCGCGCGGCGGGTGCGCCGGACGGTTGTGGCCTCCGGTGGCCCGCGGGGTGCGCTGGTACGAACCCCTGGTGTGGGGTGGCAGGCGGTGGACGGTGACGTTGTACGGAGGCTGGGAGTGGGACTCCGGGGTGGATGTTGTCGCATTCGCCGGTGGCTAAAAGAGCAGCAACTGCGCGGTATTCAGTGATCGACAGTCAAACTACTTGCATTTTTGCGTTATGATCATTTTATCATCACATCACATTTTATCATTCTCAACGCTTGCGCGCCTCGGTATGGTGTATCAGGTCCAGTTCAACTGAGATGCTTCTACGGGGCTTTTAGGAAAGGTGGCAGTGGCCGTGCCGTTCGAGTGCATTACTCTTGCGCCATTGCTCAGCTGTCGTCTTCGTACATGCACTTCAGACCTGGCGATGTGAGGTGAACCACGCGCACGTTAACTGCAACACACAGCGTCTGCTGTCCTCGGTCCCTGCTGCAGTGACTGGGCGCAGCGGGACTGATCGCCGCGCGTGAGGGCCCCGCGGCTGTGCGTATGCGTCTGTCCTGTGCCTGTGCGTCCCCCCCCCCCTCGGCGAGCGTGGGGCCCACTGACGACCTGTGACCCGGCGACAGGACCTGCCAGGTGCCGATGGACATTTGGAGCAAGAAGCGCATCATGGGCTTTTGGCCGACGGTCGGCGAGGTGGAGGACAAGCGGGTCTGCACGGTGAGAGTCCGCCGCCGCCGCCGGTCCTCTTCCGTCCGCATGATAGACGGGCTAGCGTTAAGGGTGGGGGTCAGAGAAGATGAAACTGACGGTGTGTGGGTTCGCAGGCGTTCGACGTCGCGTACTGGTGGACCGGGTGGGAGGGGTGATAGGCGCACGGCTCGTGTGCTGTGCTCTAGCGAAGTTGACCCGTGCTGACCCCGACTGACCGTGGGGTAAACTGAGGACGGAGTCGACCTGTGCTGACCCTGATTGACTATGGGGTAAACTGGGGACGGAGTTGACCTGTGCTGATCCTGATTGACCGTGGGGTAAGCTGGAGACGGATTTGACCTGTGCTGACCCGGACTGACCGTGGGGTAAACAGGAAACGGAGTTAACGTTTGATGATCCTGATTGACCGTGGGGTAAACTGGAGACGGCGTTAACGTTTCATGACCCTGATTGACCGTGGGGTAAACTGGGGACGGAGTAAACGTTTGATGGTCCTGATCGGCCGTGGGGTAAACTGGAAACGGAGCGGACCATTGGTGACCTCGACCGACCGCGTGGTAAGCAGGAGACAAAGGTGACCTGTGCTGACCCAGACTGACCGTGGGGTAAACTGGAGACGGAGTTAACGTTTGTTGACCCTGATTGACCGCAGGGCAAACTCGAGATGGAGATAGAGGTGCTGGCGGCAGAGGACGCCGAGCAGAGGCCGGCGGCAGTGGCCAGAGAGGAGCCCAACATGAACCCGAAGCTGGAGCCGCCCAAGTGAGTCGTCTCCTCAGGTCACCGCGAAGGCGATCTCGGAATAAGGAATACATGATCGGTAGTCCCCGGGCTGGTAAAGAGTCCTCAGTGGGTGGGGGGGGGGGGGGGGGGGGGGGGGGGGAAGGGATCGAACTCGGAAAGAGCTCTGGGGCATGAGAAGCGAATTAGTTGAAGGCCCGGCCTCCGCGGGTGGCATCCGGTCAGATAATGTATTTTTTAGTGAACAGCGGTGTATCCAAAGATGTGTCCAGGAGGGGGATTTTATACCCGGAGACAATATTAGCTGTATAAGGGCTCCGACCTCAAAGGTCGACAACAAACCTCGCGGTCCGAGTCCCTGGATGAACAAGCGACTCCGGTGTGGCCTGTGGAGAGAAGAGTAAAAAGACAAACCGAGGTAGGGCTCACATAAACCCCATTCGACAACACCAGCGTCTCGTAAAGCTGTGAACCGTGGTAGTTGTATTTCCGCGGATTTTGCAAAGAAGTTAGTGCCTGCCTTCCGGTTCACTCACGCGAAGTGGGGTGGCCTCAAGCCGCCTCATCCGCGCGACTCGCCCCTGACTGAGGCAGCGCGCTGCCGGTGACGGCGACCGCGCCGAAGGTCAAATGACGTCATGTCAAGGACGGTACCGTTCCGAGCACCGCGGTAGGTCAAGCTTTCGCTGCTGCATAACTCATTGACTTGCAAATGTCATGGTCAGATGGCGGCGTTGGTGTTCACGTGATGCGAGCGCCGCGTAGCGCTGAGACTGATCCCAGAAATCTTTCCGAGCAAAAGGTTGGGACTCAAGGTTAAGCGAGTACGGCAGTAGTTTTTCCTGACGCAAACCGCTTCGGTGCAGGTGTCGTGCGAGAATTTCTTCTGAGGCTCGACTGACAGCAGTGCTGTCACTAACGTGTTTCACCGGTGTCACGTTTGTCACATCAGAGCATTTGCAATGGAAGGCTTGACGGTGGAGATTAAGTCACGCAATGACAGTGGTGTAAGGGTTTCGTCGTTGCCAGCACGCGTCGTGTTTGGACATCGGTGTTCATCCTCCGTGTTTCCTAACGACGTTAACTAACATCTATGAAGGCTTGTACGACCCCACGCCGCCGCTTTTCTCCGGTCCTGGCGGTCTTTCACTGATGTCATTTGACGCTGCTCCACGTCATAGGTAGTACTTCGGCTCCATTTGTCTTCCACTGATACCGCTCAACGCCGCTCCACGCTAGGCCGCCGCGTGCCGCCCCCGTGACGTCACTTGACGCTGTCGCGCCGTGTGCTGCAGCCGGCCGGCCACGTCCTTCCTGTGGTTCACCTCGCCCTGGAAGTCGTTCAAGTACATCGTCTGGAAGCGCTACAAGTGGTACCTGATCACGCTGCTGGTGGTGCTCCTGCTGGCGCTCTTCCTCATCCTCTTCCTCTACAACGTCCCGGTGAGCAGCGCGTGGCGGTGAAGCCACGGGAGAGTGGAGGAGCGAGAGGTGTCTGTTTGTCTGTCTGTCTGTCTGTCTGTCTGTCTGTCTGTTTATGTGTGCCTGTGCCTGCCTGCCTGGCCTGTCTGCCTGTCTGCCTGTCTGCCTGCCTGCCTGTCTGCCTGCCTGTCTGTCTGTATGTGTGTGTGTGTGTGTGTGTGTGTCTGTCTGTCTGTCTGTCTGTCTGTCTGTCTGTCTGTCTGTCTGTCTGTCTGTCTGTCTGTCTGTCTGTTGCATGGTCACCTGCACCTCTCAAAAGCCTGCCGAGTGCCGAGCCTTTCTCAGCCCCATCCCCGTCGCGTCCTTGACCCCGACCGCGGCGTGACCTTCAGGAGGCCACTGTGGACCAGCTGGCGCGGAAGATGATCTGAGGCCGGCTTCAGTCCCTCCTGATCCTGATCCCGTCGTCGGTGACCTGACCTGACCTCACCTCACCTCGGTCGGCGGTCAGGGGTCACGGCTGCCTGATCTCACCCGACCTCGGCCATCTTGAGGTGTGACCTGAACAGTGCTGACCCGGACGGGTCAGCCTGACCTGACCTGGCATGACCGCTCCGCCGGCACGCGGGTATTGGTGGGGTGGGACCTGAGCTTGCCTGTCACCCGCCGCCAAAATCCACACTTAAAGCAAATGTTCGTCACCTACGATGTCCGTAAACATGTTGCGTATAATTTGTTTTAGGTCCCTGTGTATGCTGCGCGGCCCGGCTATTTTCATGTTTTCCCCGTTTTTTTAACCCCCATTTTTTAGGGCCACAGTGTAAGTGTGATCTCGTTAATCGCTGGTGTCTCATCTCACCCTCTGAGCCCACAGTTCCCCGCCTCCCTCAATTGCTGTTCAGTGCGGGTTTCACGGGTCCTTGTTCACGTCGCCACCGTGGTTTTCGTCTCCAGGAGGCCACCATTGACAAGCTGTTCGGAGTCCGGGGATAGAGCGGTCGGCGCGTGACGTCACGCCCGGATGACGTCATCTCCGCCGGCGGCACGTGACGTCACAGCCGGATGGCGCACACCCGTCACACCCGATCGAGGAGATCAGCCAGTGCTGCCTGCCGCACGCGGTAGCCCGACTCCGACCCAGTCAAAACCCATCGCACCGTGACCTGCGTCGACCTTGACCTGGCCTTTCTCGGCGACGACACGTGTGTCAGTTGTGACCTGGTCCCGTGGGCCTCCGCCTGGCCTGTGTCGTGCCTGACTGACCTGTGTGAACCTTGACCCGATCCGTGTCACCGTTGGCCCTCTCGTGTGCCCCGACGCCGTCGAGGTCAGGAGGTGCGACGGCCTGTCCGCCGGCGGCGCTGGGGCACGCGGGAGGGCCGGGGGAGCCCTGCTCTCCCACGATGGCCACTCCAGCGAGTTAGGGGCGCCGCACGGGTCAACGGCGACGCCCTTCACGACCCTCTCCGTCCCCGGCGATGAACGCCCCGTCGAGCCCGACGGCGGGCGTCGCTGACCGCGGCGCAAAGGTCAGACCCGGCGGTGACCCGCGGCCACGGCGGTCACGGCGGCTGGCGCGGCCGACCTCGCGCGCCGCCTGGCGAGGATTGGCGGGATGGCGCGACGGGGAATGGCGCCGTCGCGGCGGTGAGATCAGCGCCGTTGTGGACGCCGTTGTTGGGGACGGCGCAGACGCGGCGTCTCCGACTGTGTCTTCCGGCCTGGCTCGTGCCGTTTACTGGTGGCTAGCCTCGCACCGCGCTGAACTCCGTCAGCTGTTGATTTTCGGGTAGAAGAGCTTCCGTCGTATTACGCACTGCTGTTGTTCTGTTTAATTCGCGCGTCATCAGAACAGGGTTGTCTTCGCCGCGGGCGGTTTGTTCTGAGTGCGCCACGTCTGTCGCCGTCGCGTTGGCGACGTCAATGTAGTGTCCGTGTGGCGTGTGTCTTCTGTGCCGCTATTGCCCGGGTTTCCGCTTCTTCACTGGTGGCATTGTGATTCTTGCTTGGCTGCTGCCACGCTGCGAGTCGGCTGACCCGACACTGCACTCGCCAGTCTGTGGCTTCGAATCTGTCTCCTAATCCACCCCGAATGCACCTTTGTCAGAGTGAGCGGGTTTTCGTCTTTCCTGGCTGGGCTTTGGCGTGTCCCGACATGAGATCGCGCTCCACAGCCCGCACCAGGCACTCTCCGCATGGCTTTTGGGGTCTTGGGTAGATACGAGGCATGCGATTGGCTGTAATCCGCATGCCCGCGTTGCTATTGTCGCGATCTGTCGTCTTCGGTGACGTCATAGCGCCGCAGGGTGAAACCAGATTTTGACTGGCCCTGCGCCCTTTTCTGGAACTGTGATTGGTAGGCGCGTGAGAGGAATGACGTCATAAGATTGCTCCGGCGAGTGATTGGTCAGGACGTGAGAGGAATGACGTCATAAGATTGCTCCGGCGACTGCTTGTCCGCGATGTTGAACCTTGTGGGCCTGTCCTCTCTGGGGCGACCTAGGTATTTGTAGTGTACCGCTTTATTTATATTCCGCCTTGGAATCTTCGTTGCGTCTTCCATTTAATGCGAGCGCGGATGGGACTCGAATCGCCGCCATTGGCAATAACTCGTGCCTGTTGTGTTTGTGGATGTATCTACCCGAGTTGAATAATACCTGCAGCAATATCGATCTTCTGCGTCTTCTGCGGGCTTCGTCGGCGGAGTCGGAGGCCGGCCATCGTCTCGAGTTCGATCGGAGACGGCCGGGAGTCGTGCTCGGCCCCTACGGAGCCCGGCTGAGCAGGGGTGATAAAGCTTCTGACTTACCAGATGTGATCAGGGACGAAAACGGACTTTTGCGAGCCAACTGATGACAAAGTTGCGAGAATGGGAACAAATCATGACGGACCAGGCCATGGTACGCCAGACCATCCAGTAAGCCGAAACTCAAAGCTCAGTATTGGTCTGTTCTCGCTAACGCTGGCAGCGTGAGCTTGTGTAGAGCACACGTCCAAACGTTGACGCTCCGCTGTATGAGCAAGTGGATTCACAAGATGCCGTTAAACCTAGCAGCTTTAAGCAGGATTATTTTAGCAGGCAACGGAAATATACTACAAGCAGCTATATTGGTGCCGATGTCACAGGGGAGTGGTGACACTGCTTTTCTAATGCCCTCAGTCTAGTGTAGCCAAGATGTTCTTCACATTCTAAACAGTATGAAATGCCAAATAATTAAGCTTATTGCTAGTCGCTCAAATTATAGCTGGCCGCAGCACCTCGCGACAAACGTGATCAGTTTGCTACGCGGTGTTTAAAAGCGTACCAGTTGAGACAGATGGGCTCTAGTGCTCGCCACTCTTTTAAGTACAGGGTTGTGGGCTGCCGTTGGTTTTGTTCGTGTCGTGAGAACCTGACTAGCTTGGAGGATGTAGCCAATCGTCAGTTTTTTCTTTTCACTTTAAAGCGCGCGGCCTTTGTAAGGATCTACCACTAAGGGCGTACGTGGTAATAGCGTTAAAAAGCCCGGTCGAACCAGGAGGCTTGCTGTTTGTGGATACCCGAGCTGTAGCTTCAGAGGCCAATGGAGGACGTTGGAGCGACACATGTCGCTGATTCATCCGGAGCTTTCTGCTGCTAAGAGAAACAGCGGCTTTGAGGTAAGAGACCGTGCATCGCTGGAGTATGCCTCTTACACTGTCCTCGCGGCTAAGACTTAACGTACTGACCGATGGAAAGGCGTGAGATAAAACGCTTACAATTGTCATTCTATTATATGTAGGGCAAAATGAATGTGCCAGAGGTGATCAAAAATGTCACCCGCATCTACTCATACCAATATTACATGGGTTTCGCACCAATCGATTGGATCATACCAGGAAAGCGAGTCCTGCGCTGGTAATGAATAAGCGAAGATAGATAAGTAGATGATAGTAGAAGAAGGTAGAGGACAGTAGAGAGGTCGTCAACGCTTCCAGCTGATTGTACGATGACTACAAATCAAACGTGGTTTTGTTTCCGTTGTCTGTAGAACTATGTTGTCTACAAGTTGAGATAGGGTATTGCAGGAATAAAAATGTCTGAGCCTGCCTCCGAAACGCACTTCAAAACGCACCGAAACGGCAGTTTTCTTCCCGGATTTGACGCACTTTTTTAGAGTTGGGAGCAGGAGTGTGATTCTCAAAATTGGTTTTTAGGCCTGAACCCTAAAACGATAATGAATGAAAAAATGACAACTGAAAATAGGAAACTATCGTTGATTAGGGTGTACAATCACCTCACTGAATAGGAAAACACACTAGGCTGGTTATGTTATGCTGGTTGAGTATGCCTTCATCTAATGATTTGGTCATCTTAGTCTCAACCATCATGCAGTGTTGAACGGCCAGCAAATAATGCTTTAGTGCAAATAAAGCTCACGAAAAGACGATTTTTGATGTTTCTGCTGTATTGCATTTAATTTGTCTTTGTTTTTGTGGTTTATCGCATTTTGAGTCATATTGCAACTGTTCATGATGGACTTAACTCCAATTGACAATTTAGACGGTGCCAAACTTCGTCGGTGACAGAAAGGGCACTTTTTCACCCCCACGGCTGACATGGAGGACTTGTGCTGACGCAGGCTGGTGCCCAACGTAGATAAGGTCCTAGTGGACCGTGCGCCGAGTAACGCACCAAAGATCCGAGAGTCAAGCCCGATAGGTTAGCTCCATCCTTCCGCCATCTTGGGATCCGCCATCTTCCGCCTGAGGGGTCCCGTCGGGGCTACCATTGGTTCACTTGGTCTCTTTGGCTCACTGACCACCGGTGAGGCCTTCCACCCGCACCACCCGCAGCACACGCACCACCCGCGAACCCGCGATGATGTCGACGGATGTCTTATTTTTTGGACCACTGCCGACCAGCAATGGACTATTGCAAAGCTGTGGGTTAAAGGGGGAAGGTACGTGATAGGGACCATGCTGCGGCCGTCCGTGAGGTCCCCGCTGTCAAGGCTTACCGGGAACAGTGACTTATCTTTGGGGTTTTATGTTTTCCGTTGAGGCAGGAAGAATGTAACTTTACGAAAGTGATTAGCCAGCGGGACTTATGGTGGAACAGCCCTTTCGAGCTCTTCCGAGTCATGGCGTTCAGGTCGGTCCCAGGTACAGCCTCAGGTCGGTGACCTAAGTCGGCCCAAGGTCAGTGAGCTAGGTCAGTCACAGGTTAGTGACCTAGGCCGGCCCCAGATCAGTGATCTAGGTCGGCCCCAAATCAGTGATCTAGGTCGGCTCCAGATCAGTGATGTAGGTCGGCCCCAGATCAGTGATGTAGGTCGGCCCCAGATCAGTGACCTAGGTCAGCCCCAGATCAGTGACCTGAGTTAGGGCGCGACTCTCGACAGGGCGAGCGCGAAGCCAGCTGGCTGCCGCGTGCTCCCAGTGAGGCGGAGCGCTGCGAAAGCTTGGGATCAAGCGGCGAGTTGGGAACACGGCGTGGGCATGCATTGATGAAGGTGGGCGCATAATTTTCGGTGGAACGTGCCTCTCGTCGTCATGTAATCGGTAGGTTGACTCGGAAAGCGTCTGATGTAAAGTGGACCGCTTCGGATTTCAAAATGTTTGCGATTTGCGGATTTTGACGAACGGCAGCATCCTGGCGGAAGTCCCCCCCCCCCCACATTCGGTATTTCTATGGAATGTGCATGCTGGGGACGGCTGCCGAACTGCGCCACATGAACTGCATCTCTAACGGACGTCGCTTCGCTCGAGAAAAGCATAAACATCGCCTGTCTCCCAGAATTCGGCGGCAGAGCTCGTCTCGACGAGCGCTGGGCCCAGCCGCCCGTGTCTGTTACCGATTCATGTGCAGCGCTCAAGACCCGTGGGTGGCGTCCGGAGCGTGACTGGCCACCGAGAGCGTCGATACAGCGGGCGGCGGTGCAGTGAGGTGGTGCGGTCAGCCATCGGAACTGTATACTGTACAGACGTCCCTCACAAGGGATCAGATAAATCTAGCGACTTTCAAGGCATCTTCAATCGCTACGACCATGCGGCTCCTGATTTCTTTTCACGCTGCAATCGCCCGAAGCCCACTAAAATCCCAATATATAACCGGTAATACCTAACCGTTAGTTAGGGCTCTCCTGCCGCATCTTCACCTCGTATTTTGCGCAAAGGGCCAAGTGGCAAAATCAGCGCAGTCGCACTGTTGACATTGCTGTTGCGCAATTTACTTCGTTGATTGAATTACCTCCTTGTTGCCGGCCTATTTACAGCGCCTCAGTTGGGACTTATCCCAAGGACTGCTCTCCCAACCAGTGCAATAATTTGAAAGTCGCCACGGCCCCAGGGAGGCACCACCTTTCCGTGGTGGGGGGATTGCGTGCCCCAATGATCCTGTGGGCGGTTGGGGAGGCTTGTAAAGCGCCCCTTCCGGCCAAAGGGGAGGGGCCGGACGAAACGTGCCTGCAAGGGCTCTGACTCGTTCGGAGTAGGGATTAGCAACCCCTCGGCCCCAGCTTTTCAGTCTTATTTGGGTCTCGCCGTACCCCGTTGGATCCAGCAGATAGCGATGAAGGGATCCTGGTCACTGAGGGAGTTGCCCTGCGGGTCAGTCGGGGCAGATTACCAACACGTGGCTTTGGCCCGAATTTGTGATCCTGCGGATGCTTCGTGGTCTCCACATGAGGAAATCGGCTGGTCAGACGTCGTGCTTTCGTGACACTGGCTTGGAAGCAAGCAGGCCATGTGATGGGTGCTGAGGGGGAGCTGCCGGGTGCAGTGTCTGCCTCCTGACACCATTAAGCGGCCGTACCTCGGTTTGTTACCAGGGTGCCTGGTTAGCGCCTGCGAACCGAGGCACTGGCGCCTGCGTACTCGTGCCCGGCGGCTCTCGCAGCAACTCTTCTGGCACACTGGTCTGCGTATAGCGTGCTGGTAGCCCTGGCGGCTCCTCTCTTAGAAGTGGACCGTCCCCGTGTTGGGCTCCATGATGGGCGGGGAATCAGCGCGCCGAATATAAACACATACTTATGGACACTTTATCATCAACCAACCCCCCAAACCTCGACCATCGTCCTGTACCAATACCGCAGTTTCTGGTCGTAAGATCCGCCAAAGTGGATGACCAAGGAATAACAGTACCACTCCGACTGAACCCATTTCAGCGCCAACAAGCTTTTTCAAGGATCGGGACACCCAAGGATGTCTTTTTGTATGCGGATGGAGGCATATAAGTGCATTTAACAAACGAACGCGAGATCCAGCGCATACTCAAGGCGACTACACTTATCTATAAAGTACGAGGACAGGGAGAGGTTAGGGTGCCGGTATCGGTGCACCCTCACCCCTCTAAGGACTACTCCAAGGGTGTGATTACATGCCGGGACCTCGCGGTGTGAGTGATGAGGATGTTGCTGAAGGCTTGTGTGAGGAAGGGGCAACGGTTGTGAGACGTATCAAGAGGAGAGAGAGAGAGAGAGAGAGAGAGAGAGAGAGAGAGAGAGAGAGAGAGAGAGAGAGAGAGAGAGAGAGAGAGAGAGAGAGAGAGAGAGAGAGAGAGAGAGAGAGAGAGAGAGAGAGAGAGAGAGAGAGAGAGAGAGAGAGAGAGAGAGAGAGAGAGAGAGAGAGAGAGAGAGAGAGAGAGAGAGAGAGAGAGAGAGAGAGAGAGAGAGAGAGAGAGAGAGAGAGAGAGAGAGAGAGAGAGAGAGAG